CTAAGTGAATAATTTGTGGTAAAAACTTTAAACTTTAAAAATATTTTATCTGAATATTCCAAAATATCACCAAAAACAAGCAAGACTATAGTCTTACTATCATGAAGAAATTCAAAAAAATAAAAAGTCCCAGAAATACCCTAAAATGCAAGTTTATAGTCTAAATATATAGATAAAATATTTCTTTTTTACCACAAATTTTTCACTTGGCAGCATGTTTGGCGGCATAAACTTGCATTCTGAGGCATACCGGCTTACTTTGCTATGAAGGAGGAATTTGAATAAATGAAATAGCAACTAGATCTTACAATGCCTTTTTATTGGGTATAGGTTAACAGAAAACACTTCACTTTCACAATGATTAATTTTAAATTAAAATCAGATAAATATTTGAAAGTTATCTGTTATTTGAAAAAATCTTATAAAGAAGAAAATGTATTTATCTTTGTACAAGACAGTCATTTGAAATAAAAATTGCCTTTGCCTTTCCAACAGGAAGGTGTTCTATTGTTAGGTTTACACTAAACTCTTAAGTAGATGCTTGGACATTTAATAGGCTACTTTCACCATCAAAATCCTCCTAAGCAAAGGACTGGTTTCTGCAAGTTTATTAATGACAATGTCATTGTCTACAGACATGAGTACTTCCTTCTCTGTGTACATTAACATAAAGGCCTCCAAGAGTTCCTGAGATAGTAAGCTTTGTAGCCTATTTTTCACACATTTAATGCAGAGAAGCTCCGCTCATGTGCAATTTGAGTGCTTGAAAGGGTCAATAGAAACTTATGCCAACCCGATTACATGGTATGCATCTCAGGAGGTTATATTGTGTGAAGATCAGATAAACCCAGATAACACAGCTTTTGTAGGAAGAGCAGGTCCTGCTGTCAAGCTCTAACTAGTGACGAGGTTCATGGCTGGTAAGGCACTGACTTGTCTGGAGTCAGATTTACAATTGTAAGAACCAAAAAGAGCATCTTATTTCACTATTCATCCATCCATCAGCATTCCTCTTTCAATGACACCTACACCAACACAAACATATACACAGGAACATATTTGTCCTACAAAGAACATTTCTTCTTGGATAGAGCATCCTTCTTGTGTCTAAACAATTCAAATTTGCTGTAAACAAATTAAAGTATACAGATGAGTGCAGCACAAATTTATTTTGACCTTCAGGCGCCCCCTTGAGGCTGAGCAGCTGACCCCTGCTGACTTAGAAAAGTCAGCAGGGGCTAAAATTACTGTATTTCTAGTCCAAATTTGAATGAAGTTTTTTTTCATTTGTAGACTTTGGTTGGTGAAACACTAAAAGTCCAATAACGTCATTGTGGTCGTGTACGCGTGTTTGAATCTGCTCGAAAACAGGCTAATAACACCACAAACACAGACATCCTTGTTAACTTGTTTCCAACATGCATGCAGATGGCACCAGGGACAAAGGGGGCATTACCCCCACCCTCCACCACTACTGTACCTGCTGTATATACAGTATGGCGACAAAAGACGTGATGATAAAACAGAGGAGAGATGGTCTGCTTGTGTGCTACAATTAATGGTGTGTTCAGGCTTTTCCCGAATGTCTGGATTTCGGAGCACCCCCCCTACATCTGCCACAACCTCACCTGAAGTTGGACATCTTGTTCCACCCCAGTTCAAAAAAGCGGGGCTGATAAACCAGTTCGTTTTCAGAAAAGTTGCCACAACAACAACAACAACAAAACCAATCAGAAAGACGTTCTGCCAGACACAGGCAGGTTACAGAAGAAATATGATACATAACATGAAGTGAGAATAAACCAGAGTTTCTGTGTGCTGCAGATGGTTTGGTCTGTAGTTTTCTGTATTGTTAAACTTTCAGATTTAAACTCCGCCAGACTTCTAACCGTGTTTAGTATTTCAGCAGTCCCAGCTTCCTCAATGCTTCTCTTCTATCAGCTCCCATCCCTGGCACCACAACTACTGAATATTCCACTGAGTTTGGGGGTTTGTGGGGGTCAGGCTGGGGTACAGGTGTTTCCTTGGGCTCAGTTTCTGGGATGTTCCCCAGACCAGGACATTTCCCATTAGTCTTAGGGCTGTTTACTCTGACAGTTTGTCCTGGAACAACTGTGCTGGATCCACTGGTCTGGGTGGAACATGACGTTGGTGCAGAACATTGGTCCTGTCGTGAGAAGTGATGGAAACTAGCACTGCTCTGAAGAGGTCTGCTCCTGGCCTCTGTGGGAGCTGGAGAATAAGAGAACGACGGACTTCTTGGTGGGTAACGAGCAGCGTGACCTTTGATAGTTTGTTCACACGTTGGCTCTCCAGAAGAGTGGGATTGAGGTGAAGCCCCCACTTCATTTGGTGAGGGTTTCTCCTTCAGGAGCCCCAGCTTCTTTAAAGCCTCTTGTCTCACGGCCTGTGGATCCGTTGCATGTCTGAAGCTCTGTGAAGAGCTAAGGGAAGTGGAATTCTGTGTTTCCACATGCAAGTTGGCAGGAATTGTTTTGGGTTTGGGAGCAACTGCAGGTGGACTTTTCCTGGACTTGGAAGACTCTGAGTCAGATCTTTCTGATCCCGCTAACTTCCTGGTCTTCAAGCCTTCCGCTGTGCCAGGACTACTTTTGTCCCACTCTATAGTGTGGTCCACCTTGGGACACAATGGTGTCTTCTTTGTTGAGGCAGTCCTCTGCATATACACAAGCGCCTCATGGGACAGAGGTCCTCTGGGTAAAGGATTCTCAACCGTCCTAAAGGACACGTCTTTTGTGGCAGGAGTCGTCATGTCGTCCTCAAAACGTACACGAGAAGGTTTCTGGTTGTGTTTGTGACTGGATCTGTTTACCTTCATGGGTGGAGAAACGCCTGCTTGAGTCTGGGCCACAACAATAGGAGTAGGAACCATGAGGTTCTGCACGTATTTGGTGTGAACATGTTCCTTCATTGGTTCTTTAGATCCTAGTTTCTGTGAATCTTGAAGTATCAACAAAGTTGATTTTTTTAAAATAGATTTGACATTATTTACAGTCAGAGTTAAAAACAGACAAATGAAAACTTACTGGTCACGTTACTTTTTCTTATGGATTCTGACAGGTCAGCTGCTTTGGTTGCGAGGTTTCCTGGCTTGGTCGTGTGATCTGGCTCATCATTGGACAGTCCACTGTCTTCTTCAGTATCCAGAGACTCGATGGTCTCCTCCAAAAACATGAGACAGGCTTTCTCTTCAGCAGACAGGTGCTCCAGACTGTCGTCGCTCTGGTGTAGAATCAGAGGGAAAAGCATTTTATACAGAAATGATCAAACATTTGGTGAGGAATAAATACATCTGTCTGTCCAAGAAGTTAATGTCACTTACTGATCCAGAATTAGCGCTGACAACACTGTCACAGCTGCCAGCACTGTCCATGCCACTGGTCTCCAGTGCAACCCCACCTGGCCACGTATCACTTTTAGGCATTGCACAGAATGTTGTGTTTGAGTCCCCCTGTGAAAGAGAGTGCAGAGTAAGAGAGTAACAGTTGAGATTTGAATTTTCTAAATGAACACTGCAGTATTTACTGTGTTACTGGGCTCTATAAAGTGGTTTTCATAAGGTCACAAGTGCTGGTTGTTCTCTTCACCATTGTAAAAGTCATACGTAGAACCAGAATTAGCTCGGAGTTTATGTGAATCCCTGCAGATCTAATGACATCTTTTCTACAGTAGGGAATCTACAGTTCTTCAAAAAACCTCATAAATCATAAATCTTAGCTTTTGTTTGAGCTCATTTTCCTACTCCTAATTAAAATTAATCAATAGTAATTAATTAAAAGAAAAAACTCTTGTGAAAAGTGATCAATACACTTTGGTTCCACACTGAGTAACTCTTGGCTCTGGACTTTGACTTATTAGCAGAAGCAGGACAGTACAGTACAAGGTGCAGAAACACTGATTAACTCCACGCTAGGTGACGTGGAGTTAAACTCTCTGTCAATTTTTTTCCCCAGCAAACTAAACACTGATGACCTGATCAATGATTAGAGATTCATCTGACTGTACAATGTATAGTACAATGTAAGTGTGTTTTATTTTTATTTTTTTAAATCAATATATTTTTATTTATGTTCAAGATCTTATAGCAATTACATAATACAATGATTTTAAATTAATATATTAAATAGGTTTTTAAAACAATCCTCCTAGAAGAAGAGAATCAACTTTGAAGGACTGGAGTGATATTGTATTTTAGTACAACTTTTTTAATCAAATATTCTTTTTACACAACTAGGACTCTGTGCTGTCCTCTTTAATATAGGATCCAAGTATCTCTGCCCGTCATGCAGCAGAAGTTGGATTAAGTGTATCGCATGTGGCCTAGTGGTCGAAGGGTCAGGCTAGTAGTTATAGGATTGCTGGTTTAAATCCTGGATATGGCACTGCTGTGGTGTGAACAAACACCAAAAAAACTAACATGAAATAATAAAAAAAAATTAAATTAGAAAGATTAGTTAAATGTGTTGAGCAGTTTTTCTCTAATAATTAATATAGAACTGGAAACAAATAGTGAGGTTTAAACATGGTACTCTGTCCCAATCTACAACACTGAAAACACCACGACCATGGTGACTAAAATGTTTCAGTGACTTAATCGTCACGTACGACGTCTCCAATGTGGCCCAGTTCTGTGGCGCTCACAGTTTCCTAGATTATTCAGTTTCTGACAGATATCTAACCAGACCTGTGGCTGCATGTGAGTCAGATTACAGAGGACATGTCCCTGCTAATCTTCCTTCAGCAGATCACTTTCAGAGGGACAGCAGTAATGATCTCCTGAGAGCTATCTGATATCCACTATGATCATGGTGTCTTACCCAACAACAGGCTCCGGTGGTAAAAGTGCTGCGTAAGGTTGGAAAGAACTGACAGTTGTAGCTGCAGGATAAAACTAGAAACTGTGATCAACATTCAAGTGCATTTGACACAAACTGTAAATGCACCACTTTACAAATTAGACTTTTAAAAAAAATGTAAGGTTTGAGTCGGTTTTCTTTTTAGACTCTCATCTGAAATGTTTGGACAAAGGAACTCCTGTCTTGTGTTAGTGAAATCCTGGAGGATAAGTTACCACACCTGGGACAGAGGGTTGCAGGCAGGACAGGCATGGGACAACAGCACTACTGTTCACTGGCTGTACGCCGAATGTCCACACAGTCCTTCAGTTTTATATTATTATTAATATTATTATTTTATTAAATACTTTAGTTTTACCCTCATCAGTCCAGTTGTTTGCAATTCAGGTTCTGCATTGACTTGTTTTCACTGTCTTCACAATCTCACACAAGTTTTGGGACCTATAACAAAACATCTCATACTGAAATCTAAAATGATACCGTTTACTAACATTTGCGCTTTTGTTTATCAGTGAAGCCACAATAAGACCTTCACTCAGAAACAACTGCACCGTGACTTACAGAGCTCTCGTACTACATTTTCAACAGAATACACAACGAAGTGGTTAAAAAGTCACATGATCTCTGCTCTATGTAAACGAGACTGTACTGCCCTAGTTCAACCCTGAAAGAAGTGGTTACTATAAAAATGTACAAATGACTCCAGCTGCAGGAAACTAAACTGTAAACAGTTTTTTCAAATTACACTTAGTTTAACAGGTTAAAAATGTGTTAAAATTCTTATTGTTATTGAGTTCAAACCTTGTTAGCAGGTCTGTCAGTGTGTCAGTCCTCCATCTTCACTGTCCTGTGCATTTTCAGAGAGAGAGAGAGAGAGAGAGAGAGAGAGTGAGTGAGTGAGTGAGTGAATGAGTGAGTGAGTGTCTCTGTCGTCTCACTTACCTGCTGCAGAACTTTGGGCTTTAAGCTCTTCAGCCAATCACAGAGTAGCACTGGCCTTAAGACCAGCAAGCCCCCGCACCTGTTGATAATCTGATAATCATCAGTGAGTTCTCCCTGCTCACAGTACTCAGACATGTACACAGACAGATGGATGGACAGACAAAACTTCACTCTTTTTACCTATTGTTCTTTTTTTTTTTTTTAAGTTTTATATATTATAAAATATTTTTGTTTTTGATTTTTTTTGTCAAAAATCCAGAATGTTGTTCTTATCCATGACAAAAGTGGCCGACTACACATTTAGAAGCTAAAGAAAACTATGTACAAATAAACCAATAGTACAACTTCAGTTGGCTATGACTTTTAATTGTGAGAACACTGAAAAAAAACTCAAGTAAATCCAGTTGTTTTGTAGTCCTTTGTGCAACATTCATTGTTTTATGTTGACCATAAAGAGTCATGAGAACCTGGTTATTACAAAGTCATTCCATTTCACTGATATATGAGCAGAAAACCCCACTAATTCTGAAATTATATATGTCACCCACAAGAGAAGAAGCAAAAAGAAAACAAGAATGAGTGTTTGAATAATTTGGAGGGGAGTCCCCACCCCCTATTCTTTGCAAAAATCCCATCACCATGTTAGATATGTGGGATAGAAATACTGAATATGAAGAAAAACTAAATGTAACCTACAGATTTACACTCCAGTGTAAAAATAACACTTAATATACCAACTATATAGCAAAAAAGCAAAGTCATACCGTTTCCTTGTGTTGTTTCTAGTTAAATTTAAAATGCATTCTTTGACAAAGAAGCAGATTAAATAAATGTAGAAAAAAACAAGATATAATGTCACCTCAAAAATGCACCGCCTCATTCACATAAATAAGACATGATAGGGTTTGATGTGTGAAGTAGTAAACTAGGTCAGTGATACAGACTCTAACGATGCTGAAAAGTTGGGACTCTCACTGAAACATAATGATAATAACAACAACATGCTACATAATCAACAAGAAGTGATAACAGTCAGACCCAGTGCTTTGTACATACGACAACAGTAAGCCAGGTCACATCAGGTTATAAATCATTATCAGTCTGTGGTTGTTTCAAAGTCTCTCTACAGTCGCATCATGAGGTTTGTCGCATATTATGAGTCCAGTCAGCTGTATTAAATAATTGGTGCATTTTCTACCTAACAACAAAAACATATCAGCCACTGTTTGCTTTGTTTAGATAAATCTAGCCGTCAAGTCAGCTAAATAGGCTCAAACAAACTCTAGGAGTTGTTCACATAAGTCACTGATTCAAGTTAGATAACCTGGCACTGAGCTGTGACAGCCAGTAGTGTAACATAGTTAAATGACATCAGAGAAACTGCAGTAGTTTTTGTGACTTTGTGATCAGCAGACAGCAGTTGACAGATAATACTGAACAGGTAGGAGGCTGAACACAGTGTCTGCAGATTCTCTGTAGATGTCGTCGGACAATATGAGGTAGAGGGTCACACAAGCAGACGACAAATAAACTGACAAAAGTTGCCAGACACGCGGCACAGGTTTGGTGGTGGTTCGGTTGTGAGGCAATAAACGGGAAGAAAAAAAAATTCACACTTCTCCAAAATTAGCGTGGCCTGTCTCCTTGGCATGCTCAAGAGCTTCCTTCTGTCCCACCAGGCCTGTCTGACACACCATGCAGCGTAAAGCAAAGCGATTTACGTCTGTGAACTGCCGCTTGCGGCGCGCCTCATCTGCCAGCTCCAGTGCCTGAGCCAGGATGACATCATCTGTAGTGGAGAAGATAGTCTGGGGCGGAGCATCAGAACCAGGAGTTTCCTTCTGTAGCGGATCGTAGTGGATGCCATCGTAGATGAGCAGCACTCGTTTGTGGTATCCAGCGTCCTCTCCGAACCGGTCCACTCGGACCGTCTGGGTGTCCACCACACAGATCTCACACTGGTAAAACTTGGAGAGAATGGACACTTCTATGGCCCCTCCCCAGGTGTCGTCACGTTTGATCCAGGTGCAGTACTCCTTGTTGGTCTTTCCCAGCACTGCTTCACAGTAGGCTGTAGGGTCACTGGACACAATTTGGGCAATGAGGCCCCGCATCTCGGGAGCACAAGCAGGGTCATACACGCCACCCTCCACCACGTAGTACACACTGGTGAAGAGGCAGGAGTTGTCAGCAGGACCCACGCGACGGGCCAGCACAGGTGGGCACTCCAAGGTGGGTGCTC